AGAAAAAGAGGGCCCAAAAAGCAACCTGCCCCTTTGCAGCAGATCATTTTCCCCATACAAACCAGATGAAGTCAAACAAACAAAGCCACACTGCCGACAGGGTTAATTCTAGAGACACTGACACGGACAGGAGTCCTGCCCATAACAACACCACCTTCGTCAGCTGACAAGCTTTCCCGAACATGCAGAAGTGGAATATTTTGGCCTCCTGTTCTTAGAGGCTAGTCAGAACCTTCCCAGATTTGGGGAACGTGGAGAGGGGAATTCCCAGACAGCCTATCGGTGTCAGGCCAAGACGGGAAAAGTCTCCCACCATTCCAGACCTGCAGCTGCCTGAGAGCACCAAGGAAGCCCTTAGCAGAGCCTAGTGCTTTTCTGGCAAGCTGAGCCTATTCAAACCCCTACGTATTTCATTCGATTTAGGATCAACCCATTACTACAGCGTAACCCCTTGAGCCTGGCAGCCTCTGGACAGCCTGCACGTGGGGAACGCCCCTTTAACCCCCAGATGACATCACAGAGGCAGGGAAGAACAGAGGCTACCCTTCTGGGGGTGGGGAAGGGTTATCGGCCGCTTGCCACTGCTCTGCTTTTTTCCTCCCTCAGCAGCAGCGGGAAGGCTCTGTTCCAGACCTCCAGGGACTAGAGACCCCTCATATGCCCAGCTTCCTACCCAGGCAGAGGAAGTGGCAGGCCTCGGTATCTCGACACAACTGCAATGGGCAGAAGCAGGAAACAGTCTGTGCTGAGCGACTCAGCCCGGGGCCCCTGTTCATTTCCCCTGCTCCGATCAGCTTTGGGAATACGAGGGAGAGCAGAAGGGCCGGGGGGTTGAGCTACACTCTCCAGTTTACAGAGCTCCTCTAGCAGGCTGCAGGAGGCAGACGCCCAGCGCAGCCCTCTCGTGCCTGGAGAGGGAAGGAGAAGGGGATGCAGAGAGCGGCTTTCTAGCTCATTGCAAAGCGATGGCTTCTTAACCAGCAGACTGTACAGCTACCTTGCTGAAGGGGAATCAAACAGCCCGTGGAGGCCTGGCAGAGCGAGGCCATCTCCAGCACTGAGACTGTGCCCACTACCCTATTCAAAAGGCAGGAGACTGCCCGCCCTCCCTCTGCCCGGGCAGCTACTCCTCTCCCCCAGAGGAATGGTACTGCCCATTCCCAAGGCAGCAGAGATGCCAGATGCAATGGCCGGATGACCCAGGCCCAGAGCCTGCCCTGGAATGGCAGCTGGCACCTTCTCCACACAGCCTGGGGCCCTGATGTATCTGCCCTACATCTGAGGACAGGGATCCCCGAGTCTGCTGATCCCATAACTGGCCTAGTTCAGAGAGGAGCGACCGGGCTCGAGCAGCTCCAGGTCCTGGACATACATCCGGGTGCAACGCTGGACGGCACAACTCCGGCAGCTAGCAGCTTGGGCTCCCACTGCTTCCAAGGCCTGTGGGCGATCTCCGCTCAGAACTGTACGCTAGCCATAAAGGAACAGGAAACTGAAGACAAAAGGGGCATGCAGGCTTCATCTCGGGCTAGAACAGGGAGATCTTGAAGGCCAGCAGAAGCAGGCAGTGGAAATCCAGTGTCCTAACTCACAAAGGAGCCTTAGCCAGAAAACACAGGCTGTGACTTCAAAGGCCCAGCTTTCCCCAGGGACTTACTGACCACGGGACAGCACGGGGGTCTGTCTCTTGGGGGTCTCGGAGTGTGAGGGGACGACAGGCTTTAGCCCAGCAAGCCATGGGGCGGGAAATCCTTGAGCTCAGACTAGATCTAATGGCCCCTCCAGGTCTTAAAGTGCAGAATGGGAAAAGGTCCCCAAGGCAAAAAGCCGAGGGACACGGCCCTACATCTCGGTGGTGCCGAGCATGCAGGGAATCTCAGATCTGCACCCAGGAAACAGAGAAACTGCACACTGGAGGCAGGCCAAAGAACGGCCATTTGATGCTTCGCAAGAAGCGGTCGTACGTGGGAGCGACAATTAGCAGGCAGCATTCAGAACCCCTAGCAGGGCTATCCTGGAGGCCAGGAGCAATCCCTGAGCTGAGGACTCGGGGATCCATGCGGAACCAGGAGCAAGCCAACGCACAACTGTCTGCATGAGAGAGAGACAGGAGCTGCCTTGCACCTCCTCCAGGTGGGTAGGATGGGGTGTTGTCAGGGCCATCCAGGTGGTGGTGCTGTGGGTGCAGACAAGCAGTGGATGAACCTGAAATGTACACAATCCATGTGCTTTTAGACACAGCCCTCCCCGATTTCCTTCTAAGGCATCAGCATTAGTAACAGCACAGGCAGAACGAACATCAACTATTCATCACAATGAACAAAGTAAGCGCGAGAAGAATGACATATCCACAGATAGTTCAGTGTTTAAAGTAAGCTAGAAAGTAAAGGTATCCGGGGCAGTCAATGCGCCTGGATGTATCATACCAGGAGCAGTGTCAAATTTTCGGGGATAATTTGAGCCCTCACCCCCAATGAAATCAAGTCCTGAAACAAAAAAGAAAAAAAGAAAAACAACCAGTGAAATTGGGGCTTGAGCACAAGTTTCATTGCCCCCACGTCCGCCAGCCACATGGTACCTGTGGATATTGTTACAACTGAAGAGATGCTCAAGGCTGCTAAAATGGAAACATAAAATGATCATGCATGAACGTGTCTGTACCGGGTTCGGCATGAAGCTACACTATGGACGCGTTACAGCACAGAAGCAAACCCGGAGTCTTCCACGGGGAGTAAGGCACCGCTGCTTCCCCACCCCGTTATTATAGACCCAAGCACACTGGCTGGAGTCCACACGCACACGAGAATCTACTTGGAAAAGAAGGTATGAACCTTTCCAGCTAACCGATTAAAGGGGGAGGCTGCTGGGAAGGAGCGGCTCCCCCCCCTCCCCCCGCCACGGAGAGGGGCAGCTCCGGCCAGCTGGAACAGCCCCTGCCTGCAGCGTGCCATTCGGGCTGGGCCCGCCTCGGATCGGACAGGGGCTGGAGCAGGTCCCTGCCTGCAGTGGTGGCAAGCTTCTCCAGCCTTTACTAGTTAACTGGAACCAGTAAGCCTCGCCCAGCTAGGGTGACGCTTACTGACTAACCATGCACATCCTTAATATGAAGTGGTACATTTCTAGCCACTTCTTTTACCCTTGTAAACAAAGACAGCCCTGCACCCCAAAAGCATGGGTCCTCATCCAGCCCGACAGTCCAGACTGAACAGCTACCCGGGCTCAGACCCACCGCTACAAGGTGCAATCTGCTGAAAAGCGGTGACCAAAGAAGTGATTTTGAACAAGGCTAGTCCGGTCTTCTGGAGAGGAACACAATTAGAGCCGCACTTGGAAGGGGCAATAATCCATTTTAGTGGGCAATGGCTTGGAGAGGGAGACAGAAATATGCATCGGCTAGATGGCTAAATGCAGTATTATTGCTATCTTAACCTCCTCCTTACGCAGACTCAGCGGAGACTAACAAGGGCCTTCAGCTGGCACTTTGGAAGGAGACAAACTGAACCGTCACGGCTGAGGCAGGCAGACAAAAGGGACAGTGTCAGATTCGTCTGTTTTAAAATTCTGGTGGCAGCAGCTTCTTCTAACCGAAGCGCTGAGCTCTCCGGGGAGAGAAGTGAGCAGCACAGAAGCTCTGAGCCCTCTGTGGTACAGATACTGCTCCCCAAGAAAACCTCCCCTCTCAACAGAGATCTCCAGGACAGCTTTAATTAGAGGTGTCCCGTGAGACACTGTCCAGGTATATCAGCGCAGAACTTGCATCTACTGGAATCTCACAAGCCACCCCCCGAGTGTAACGAAACAGCCAGCACCCCATCTCCACAGAGCGAGAGAAGAGGAACTCCTGGCAGAAAAGGAGGCCATGGGTACACACTCCTTTCTGTCCCAAGATCTCACGTGGCAAACAATCTGGGGCAGGACGCAGAGCGCTCTCCACAGAGAAAGCCGGCACGTGAACTCCAAGGCTGGCGCAGGAGGCTGCTCCACAACCGCGTTTACACAACGTCCTCTGAGCCGAGACAGCCCCTGCGCCAGAAAGCCGTCCTCAGAGTCGAGCGGCCAGTGCCTTCAGGGAGCACCTTCCCCAGCTCAGAGCAGGGCACTGCGAGCGCGCCAGGTCTGACTGTGCAGCTGTCACACTTCCAGTGTGAACCTCCAAGTGGAGAGCAGCGAAACTTACCAGGAAACCCAACACACAAAATGGACACTCGCAACAAGAGCGGCAGGTCACTGAAGTCCTGCCCCAAATCCACAACATCCCCTCACTGTTTTATCCGGGAGGCTGAAGGGGACTGGTGGGAAATCCAGGTTAGATCTAAGCAGCAGGGTAACAGGACAGAAGCATGGAGTCACTCACTTGTCCCATCGTCTGGCTCAAAGCTGCCAGTGCTGTTCCACGTGTTGTTGCTATTCCCGTAGTTCTGCTCTGTCCCGGCTGGCTCCGCATAATCAGCTGGGTTGAAAGTTCTGGAACACAGATGGGGGAACACATTTAGATTTCCTCGTAACTACCGAGACTGAAGCTCCGTCCCATCGAGACCAGGGCACAGCAAAACGATTTTAGCAGGCTCCATCCACTCCGAGATGGACCTACTGCTGTCTTAGCCACTTCAAGTGCAACTCAGCATAGCGGCTGCTGCAAGGGGACACACCGGGGCGGGCAATCGGGTTTGGCGGAGGGGCACTACAAGGGGCTGGCGAGCGGTCCCAGGCTGCACTTTCGACGACGTTAATGGAATGGATGGGGGGGTTTGGGCTGGAAGTTGGGCGCCAACGAGAGCTCAAAGCAGGGGACTGGTGCGCAGGAGAGGGCGTGGATCTGGGGTGGAGTTTGAGTGAAGGAGGAGGCTGGGACCTGGGGCAGGAGACTGGGGTCGAGAGGATTTTGATCTGGGGGAAAAGAGTAAGAAGGGGTGCAGGGCCCGGAAGGGAGTTTGGCAGCAGGAGGGGGTTGAGATCTGGGGCATGGGAGGGGACAGGCTCTGGCTGGGAAACTCTTACCATAGGTGGCTCCTGGCCAGTCGCCCAGCAGGACCCTCAGACAGGCGCTCTGGCTGCTGCGCCCCACACGTCTCTCAAAGCAGTCAGCTGCTGAGGCCAGCGTGTTTCTCTGCACAGCGCGCCCTTTGGGGAGAGGGGGACAGCGGGTCTCCGCGTGCAGCCTGCACACGCCCACAAGCACTGCCCCTACAGATCCAATTGGCCAGTTTCCAGCCAATGGGAGGTGCAAAGACTATGCAGGGGCGGGGGCAGCGCAGAGACCCGCCCCCTTCCCTCAAGGGACACGCCGTGCAGAGACACACACCGGCCCCAGCAGCTGGCCGCTTTGAAAGACGTGGGGGGCCAGGGCAGACAGGCAGCCTCCCCAGGGGTCCTGCTGGGCTGTCGAAGACCAGATCCAAATAACTGGCTGGCCGGATCTGGCCCACGTGCCATGTTTTGCCCACTCCAAGATACATAAGCCAACAAGGAACAACAGAACCCACCAGTGACTCGACCAAGACTTAAGTGCTTGTGGGCATGCCCACCCTGCAGAGAACTCAGGAGCCATCTTGCGTTTCTTGTTTTGTATCCAATAAAACTTACCCCATGCCCTGGGCAGAAAATCTTCCCCCCCGCCTTCCAGAGCCACCTGCAAGACACACACACACACACACCAAGACAGTCCTGCAGTCGAACAGCGCGTCTCTCAGCTTCGCTGCGTGGCGCTGGAAAGTGAGCGTTTAACACTGCGCGGCATTTCGGACACCCAGCAGTTTCCGGCATTGGTAGGATTTCACCTTTCTCCTTCGCACGCATGCGAACCGCACGTCAGCGGTGTAATTAGTGCTACGTTACTCCAGCCATGGGTAAGCTCCCCACTGCTCATAAGCATGAGCAGCCAAACTCTCCCCATGTCTAGGGCACAGCCTCGTCAGCGATTACCACGCCGCTCAAGTTGTTTCATGGCCAAATCTATTCTCAGGACTCTCAGCAAGGCCAAGGAAGCTGCTCCCGAAGAGGCAGGAGCTGCCCAGCGGCACAAGAACAGGAAAGGCTGCTAACCAAGGCTGTGCCTGAACTCACCCAACAGGCACCTAGCAAGTGGGGTAATGTTTAACTAAGCCTGGGGGGGAGGCATGAGAGCTAGTTAATGGCTCCAACGTGCTTGCCAGGTGCAAAGCATCATGGAGGGGCTAAGCACTAACACAAGAAGAGATGAAAAATATTTACTGCTGTGACTTCTATTCAGCACCTCGAGTCCTCCCACTAAAAGCTCTTAGTCAAGGGGAAACAGACACTGCCTCCCCCCACACACCCCTGCCTTTATGTACCTCTGCCTCGTCCGCGCCCCCGTCTCCCTCGCTCCGTGCCTCGGCCAGAGGACCCTCCAGTCTTGCCACCGTCCAGTCCGTTCTCCTGGCCCCGAACTGAAAGACACAGAAGACAACGTCCAACCTCCTTCTGAGCTCCGGGAAGGAGACCTGACAGCACGGGGGGGCACATGGGACACTGGCACAGAGCTCGTGATGCCAGGGCACCATGTTATGCTCCCGTTCGTGCCATTTGGCAGCTATGGGGTGAATCCACCCCCCCAGACTCAGATGCCAGAAGGTCAGGGGATCTACTCCTGGCCGCCAGGCACCAGCTGGGACTCCGCACTTGCCCAAGAGGATGGGTTTGGTGACATTTCTAGACATACGAACTTTCACACTAACGTCAGCACAGTGCTTTAAGTGCCTGCCATGTACCGTGATAGTTACAGTTGCTATTAAAGGGCAGGCTCATACACTCTCTTCCACGGCTACTGCCCCGGGCCCCGCTCGCCGGGGCCGCCCCC